GAAGTCGACAGCAAAAATTTAAACTCTCTTTGGCCGCAGTAATAAGCACAGAGCATCCTCCTGCCTCAGCCTCCCAAGTAGCTGGGACAACAGATACGTAGCCTGCTGTTGTATTTGGACACCATACTGGCTCTGAAATGCCAAGGAGTATGTAAAATTAACAAAGACCTTTATTCCCATTTTGACATTAGCCTTGTGAGTTGCACATAGCTTAAAAAATGAGAATGTTAATTACTTTGTCCTTGGTTTACTTGTTTTATCAATAAAGGTGGAGGAGTATAAGACATTAAAAAGACCTCCCAAAACAAAAACAGAGTTAATTTTTACCAGATGGAAACTTGATTCCTTATCAACTGCAAAGATTAAGCACTTCCGATATCCTTGGGATGATCTTAAGTGCTTTACACGCATTATTTAATGGAATCCTCAAAATAACTGTATGAATCAAATGCAATTATTATTCCTACTTTACAGATGAGGCAATGATGTCCTAGTAAGGTTAATCACTCAAGATTGAGAACACAGATTTTAAAATAGTATGTATGAATTCAAAGCCTGCATTACAGTGCCATATTGCTTCTCAATCCAGGGAAAACCAGTATAAAATTTATCATGAGAAGTATATTTCAATAATTTTAAGCAAGATTAGTCACAATAATGCAACTAAGATATACAAAAATGCTCCAGTGTTTGTCAATCTGTAATAAGATTTTGAGCAAATATTTTTTATAAGCCTAAGTGCCATGTTAGTCTACCTTTGCAGAAATGTGTGCATGTTCATGGGTGCACATGTGCATGTGTTTGTATATTATGAGAAAGATATAGAACTAGAGAGGGAGGAGAGATTTTAAACCATCAAAAAATCTCCTTGTGTTAATTTTAGATTATAATAACTCAAATAGGTCACCAAGGTACCACAACATAACTGCTGACTGTTACACTGAGGGGAGATTTATAAAGCCATATATCTCATCTCTGCCTTCTTTCCAATTTACTCAGGGTGGAAAATGACACTGGCCTTCCAAAACCTTAACTTATGTTTGGACCTTTTCCATCTTTGAGTCTTATTCTAGTGTTGCTGACCATTAAAATGAATATTTCAGTGGAGCTGGAACAGTCTTATTAGCCCAAGCCAAGCTTTATATGTCTTGTGCACTTTAAGAGGTTAATCTAGCCAGCCAGCTCACTTTGTTCAGAAGTATTAAATGGAAAGACTATAACATTCAAAGAAAGGCAAAATTCACTGGGTAAGACCTCAATAATATAATGGAGCATAAAATCTCTAGAAATTTTTACCACAATATTTTATGAAACATATGCACACACTCACTGGAACAGAATCCAATTCAAATGATTTTGAAGGTCAGTTCAAAGTTACTACATATGCAGTATCTCTCTGAGAAATAGGGACTATTTCAAAAGTGCCTAGACCCAGAAGCTTTCTTTCTCTCCTTACTAGTTTATTATCAGTCCAGCAGTGTACTATGTAAGGAAAAAGTCACCTACTACAGCAATGATACTATTTTCAGTCAAAGCATGAAGTTTAGTAAAACATTCCAAATTTCCATATCAACACATCCTTGTGTCAAGGGACAAAAGGAATCATAGCTTGTAATTCTAGAAGGAAGTGCTATTTTAAGTATAGTCAATAAATATAAAAATTAAAAATGATTATGTTATTCTCAACTTCAAAATCAATTATGTAAAGGCTTTGATGTTCATTGTTGTGAAAGGATCAAAAGACACTCAATTCCTACATTTACAAGAAAAATGAATTAGGAATGAGCATGATTATATCCAAAGACTAGTATTATTCTGATGTTTCTAAAATGTCAAAATTCTAGGGGCAGCTATGGTTCTCCTAAGGGGAAGGAAGTAAAGGTCCACTTTGTATGACAAAGGTCAGATTTCTGCAGGCAAATGAGACCTCTGTCTGTAGTTGACTGTTCCTGGGTTATCACTGTCTGAGGAAGGTCCTGAAAGGTCAAGAGAGATTCCAAATTGTGCTCACTGCTTAAGGGATACCCCTGGGGCTACCTTAATCAATTTAAGGTCATTAGGATTTTTCTAGCTCTGGTTCCAGTTTTACTCTCTTAAATCTTGCTAATACATATTGGCAATTCAGTAATGCTATAGATTTTTTAAAAAATTAAAAGTACTAAGTACTACATGCAGATCCAAAGACAAAAAACCCTCATTTAACAACTTATTTTAAATCTAAGATTGAGTTCAATGAAATTCAAATAGACAACAGAGGTTTAGAATCTGAGGCCGTAATAGAAGAGTATGACTCTATCTGTAAGAGCTGTGCTGGTGTTTCTACCATATGATCAATGACACTATTCTAGGTTTCATTTAGTATAATATAGCTCTACACAAAAGTTACCTTAGTTTCCCCAATCATCTCATATGTTTTATTATGGTAAAATTTTTATCATTTACTCTTTTTGTTATGACTTTTGAGTCACTGAAATGCAGCAAATGCTGAAGTAAAAATTAATTATTTGACAACATTTCAGTCATCTACAGTGCAAATATATGTCTAAAGTTTCCCACAATGGAATTGGAGATATACTGGATTAATTACATTTGTAAAATTTGAAAGAGTTCTGCCTATTTTGTAATTAATGAAGGGTATCTTTAAGTATTTTAGATAGCATGTAGAAACATCTGTATTTAATTATACCATACTTTTCTTAAACAGACAATGGGAACTGAATTAAGAAATATTTTGAAACCCCTATAGAGATATTAAAGTATTAATGGCTGTTCAAGAACTTTATTGCTATAATGCTTGAAAATGTTTGGTTTTACAGATCAGCAGCCTGACACTTCATAAATATTAGATTTTCAATATAAAAGGAAGAAACTTGAAATACTGAGTAAATACAGAAAATATACTACTAGAAAATACCAGGGATTTTCACTATTATCATATATCACATAATCAGGCACAGAAAATGTCTTGGATATTTGTATAGATTTGAATAAGAATTTGTAATATATATTCTTCTTAGGATTTCTTTTTTAATTTTGTTGTGGATTGAAAATTTCTATGAGAATGAATTAACAGCTTGTTATTTATTCCTCACAGAGGAAATATCCTAAACTGTTCTCATGGAAACAGTAGGACACAAAGTGTGGGTTTTTAGTACTTGTCCTTAAGTACTGAAAAAGATCAGATTTTCTTTCTGGATGCTTACTGGCCCCAAATGCCACTTCTTTTCAAAGTCAGTATCAATTCTGCAGTCAGTTTTCAGTCTCCCAGTGGTAAAGATATATTCAAAGGCTGTGTGCTCAGCAGGATGGAAGTCTTTCTCTGTGAATGTAACTATATCACTCATCAGTAACCTCCTGCCATAAGGGGACTTGTATTTTCTTTCCTTTTAGTGACTCCTTGGGCTCTTGAATGCCAGTCACTGCCCTGAGACCTGGGGCAATATCCACATAATCTCTGTCAATAGTTCCTACTCATGCCACTGGTACAACTAAATGTCAAAGCTGCAGATCAAAGTCCCCACATTCTAAGAATCATGTCCTTTACGGATCAATTTTCATAAACTATATTCCTTGTTTTAGAAATACATAGGGGGCTCACTCTTTGCTTTCTTCCTTTTATCCCAGAGAAGTTTATTTATAAGACAGACAATCTGATAATCTACAGATAATAGTGTGAAATTCTGATGCAACTACATAAAACTCAATCAGTCTTGACTTTGCATGGCCTTCTATTAAAGTATTTTATAATACCAATCATCTTTTAGCAGAAATGCAAAAATTGTTGGGCTATTAAAATAAAAAGGCATAGATTGCTTTGCAGTACTTTGCCAGTGCCTGGTACAATATGGGCTAGATACAGGATAATAAATTCTTATTCATGATTGATTTTATTTTTTAATCTTCATTATGCTACAGGTAAATTATATGGCAAAAAATAGCTTCAGCAATTGTTTTTACTGTCTATATCCATTTTAAGTATTCAAAATTGCTTGGAAAAAATGAATTCAAGTATTTTAAATCATTTTCACTCTGTAGATTTCAAATATAAATTAAATAAATTTATACTTCTTCAAGTAGACTTGAGTAAAATACAATAGACCAAATTATGTTCTATGAATACCTTTTCAGATCAGTTGTGCAGATAAAAATTTTAAATTTTACTATTGTCTCTAAAGAACTATACTTGGAAAACAGTGTAAGATGTGGAACAGAATGTACACAAATGCTATTTATGTGTATATCTAGGTAAATTTAACCATATTTATTATAGCAGTAAGAGCAAATAACACATTACATATCAGAGTGCCCAGAAAAGAGAAGAAAATGGGAAAACAAATACAGGCCTTAGAGTCACCAGGTTATTTACTAAATTCCAAATAGAAGCTTCATTGTGCTATTTCCCCTAAACAAAATTTAACATAACTACTTGAGATTATTAGGTACGAATCTTCACTCTGAGTTCTCCTATAATCTATGAGACATTAGGCAAGTCACTTAGCAAGTAGCCTTGGCCTTACCTGTTTTCACCATATAAGCAATTGAAATTTAAGGTTTTAAAAAGAAAAAGTTTCTTATTCCTATTTTTGTAGTAAATGGCTGAGGCTCAGCAGAAAAACAAATAAATGGAGAAAATTACAGAGGTCCTTGTTAAAGGAGAAGAGTTAAATTTTCTGAGAGATCAAATTTCTATTTTCCTTCATTCTACCCTTTGTTGCTAATAAGAAAATAATTTGGCTAAAACCCAAATATGATAAAGTTTTAAATTTACAAAACAGTACTTTGATTATACAGTGAATCAACTGATGTAGAAATAAGTAGGGCTGTGTGTGCAAGTGCATGTGTGCACATGTGCTTGGTAACATTCATTTATGTTGGGGGCAGGGTGGAGAGGGTATAATCTCTGGGATTTGAATCCTCTGATTTTTCCCTAGAAGTGTGGTAAAATGAAATTACAGGTCTCTTATGGAAGGGCAAGTGGGGTTTCTGTTAAATCAACTTACCAGTTTTTCGAAGGGGAAAATCATCCTTTGCATCTTGGGTTCCTGGTAATGTGTATTTGTAGGATGGAGACGTTCCACTAAGGGGTGGAGAGCTTTGATCCAGTGATGTGTGGTGGGCAGCCCTAGAAAAGACGAAAAAGTTTCACTATTTACTCTGAAGTTTTTACTGCATGTTGGTCAGCAAAAATCAGTTGCACATGCTGTACACATGCCTCAGCTGTGTTTATGTTCTTTCTTTTTAGTGTATACAAACCACGGCCTCATGTAACCAAGTTCATTGCAGCAGTATGTTATGTAATGATGCCGGATTCCTAAGAATGTCCACTACACAGTGTATATATAGTCACACAAAAAGTTTCCTTCATTAAAGGAGAGAATTTACCAAAAGCCTGAGCTTTTGATACTCTAAGATCATGCTATGTGTTTTCTTAAGAGCCAAACCAGGGGAAAAGTCATCGTCTCAATTTTTTAGTCAACAATGCAAGATAACAAAGCAAGATAAAACTAAATATATACAAGGACTTTAGTTTTAAAAATTGCTAGATAGTACAGGCAAATACATCAGAGTAGCTTTTTTACTGAAAAGACAGTATGGTACCAACAGCCTCAGGTTTTCTGACTTTGACAGCAGTTCTAATAGTAAAGAATGGAAATCACATTCTTCAATATGAAATTGATTTTTAAAAATATTTTCTTTTTCCTCAGTGAATATAATGAAAGAAATGCAATCTTGCTATTGGAGAATATAGGACTGACCACTGACTATCCAGTGGATATAAACTTTATAATATACAAAGAAAACAATGAACACAGAATACATCACCATCACAATGATCGTTCTACCAGTATTGTTTATTTGAATCATACATTCTCAGGAATTTACTGGTTTAAGGATGCTTCATCTAGCTATAACTGGCAAAATAGTATTAAAATCAGGTTCCATAAATTAATGATTTACAGTTATCTGGAGTTGGACACTATTGAAGTTCAATTCTGTAAAAACAAGACAGTATTACTAAGTACATGTGAGAGCCACGTTTAATACACCCAAGAGAACAGCTAAAGAATTTTCAGCTGACAAGTTGTTTGCATGCAGTTGTTTCTCATTACAAAAAGGTATTATCTTTTCTTAAAGCAGGCTTTAATTTTGAAGGAATTATGAATTATTTAAAAATTATGTATGTAATTTTAGATAACAAAATGGTATTCTTTTGAAATACTTTGTGGTGTTAATGGAAAGTCTGAAAATTTTATTCAGAGATTAGTTTCTCAAGTTATCATGCAAGCTAACATGCATGATAGAAATTATGTAAATCGTTAACAAGTATTTATAAAACATTCTGGAATCTGCCTGTTACCTCTTTTTGGTGGGAATGCAGAAAAGGGCAGATGCCTATAAAATAGGCTTTTAACTACAATAACTCTTTAAATAGAACTCCTGGGATGCTAACAATTTCAATACAAGAGAGTAATCAAATGCTATCTGCTGCCTATCCTTGCTGATATAAGGGAGTAAAAAATATGTAAGTGTAAAAGTCTATGATCACTCAGCAAACACATTTATGAGAGAAATGAAACTATTATCTATTATTCTATTATCCATATGTGATTTTCCTGTCAGTTCTTCGTATGGTTTTTAAACATACCACATCCTTCTTATTTTATAGAAAGAAGAATTGTGTATTGCATAATATGTCTTTTCTGGACTTGGGGAAATACAGTGCCATAAAAACTGTAATATCACATTGCATTATGTTGTCAGCTTGAGTGTCAGAAGCCAAACTATTATTTTACTGGGTGGGAGGAAATAGGGCACGGTGGGCAGGGGTAAACTATTCACTGAAGTCTTAGATTTATTTATTTAGCAACCTCCCTTCTCTTGCCCCTTCCCTACACTCCCTTATCCTCCTTCCTTCCCTCCTTTTTTTTCTTTTTTTTCTTAATTGAGTCAAAAATTTTCTGGACTTTTAAAAATAGCTCTGACCTTCATTTTATATCAGAACAAGTAAGATAAAATCACAATCTGTCAAGTCTTCAAAAATGAATGTGTAGATATCAAATGCAGCATTTGGGAATAGAAAAATATAAAATAATTTTTATGCCCCACCATACATTTGTTATTCATTCATCAAAGAACATATATACTACCTTGTCCTCAAGATGATGAATTCTAATGTTTATTAGGCAGTTCTCTTTATTTCATAGGACCTTCCCAGCAACCCTAGAGGGCAGGTACTATTATTATCCTTTTTCTATAGAGAAGGAAACTGATCCTTAGAGAATTCAAGGAACTTGCCTATAGCCACACAGCTGAGCAATGGCAGGCTTAGGATTTGTACCCAAGTCTGCTAAATACAGAACTTATGCTCTTTACCCCTGGGAATGAAAACATCCAAACACTCAACATACGTGTACCAGAGCTTGGGATGGCGGCTCACGGAATGATTTTTTCCATTAGTTGGAGTGTCTTTCGTTGCGGATTTACTCAATAGGAATTCTTGAAGCTTCTGCTTTACTTCTGTACTTGCTACTGCTCCTGAAACACGCACACACAGAAACAGATGTTGATTGTGAGTTTTGTCCTCTCATGCCTCTAGAACACTTAATAAAGATTAAGAAGTAACATCCCTGCTCACAGCATGTGAAGTTTTCCTATTAAAAGAAGAAACCATAGGCTAAATAGGCTTTAGAAAATAGCATAGTAATGCTTTGAGACTATTGCTTAAACTGTCAATTTTCAAAAGACCTTCAATGTTTTCTTTAATTGCTTTTGCAAAAAGGGAATTCCCAGAATTAATACTTTTTCTGAAGTTTAAAAAAAGTACTGCTAAGGAACAAAACACTGCTTTTTAATAATCAAGAATCTTGGGGATTAGATACATTTTAGATCCGGTAAATACATTAAAACGATCTTTTCTGAGTTGCTAGTTTGAAAAAATTAACTTTTAAAAACCACTTTGAGCATTAAACAAATAAATATTGCTGACAATTCCAGTTCAAGTCATCAAATTTTAAATCTCGCTACGACCTGATTTTGAACTGACCTAATGCAGGGGAATTATTTGGATCTGTCTCCCTCTTGTGGATAGTTCTTTGACAAGTGTTCTGCCTTAAATCTTCCCAAAGTTTGAGAATGCAGAAACTAAGTGGAGGCAAGGCATGACTTACACAGCAATAATTACTTGGGCAGGAAGAAAGAAGGCATAGTGAGGAGATACGGATGTAAGCTTATTATTAAATAGAACGGCCTACACTAGAATGCTTTAGAATAACATTATTTTTAAGGTTTAAAAAATCAGAAATTAGCATCTTTGCCAAATAGTGCAATGTTTACTTCTTGAGCTGCTCTGCAGACTGAATAGAGACAGCTGATATGTGAATGCCAAAACTTTACAGTTGAGTCTATGGTTTATGTTTTTAATTAAACACAGACAATTTTGACAAATTTAATTCCACTATTTGTCAGGCTTCTTTCTGAATGATGATCAGCTAAAGATGAGGGAAGAGAGTCCATCTTTTACCCTGGTGCCTCTTACTTTCTCGTCCTCTATCTTTGCCTCTGAGAGGAGGAAGCTGCTGTTCTCTGCGATGCCTCTCTACTTCCTGTTCTTGCCTCTGCTGCTCCAGTTTCTGCTCCTTTTCTAGGAGTTCTTGTTGCTGTTTTATGGCTAGAAGTTCCTGTTGCAACTTGCGAGAAGAGAAAGACATGAGAGTGTGCAATTTCTTTAGGTTTCATAGACCAAAATTGAAATGTTATGAGTTTTTGGAAATGGTTTGTATTTAGTTTATATTTTAACCCACTTTTTCTGTAAGTTATTATTCTCTAAAGGCAACTGACTAATGCTATGATGATCTTAACGTCATCAACAAGCAAGTTTCTAGGTAGCTCCAATACCTGTGCGTCCCTAACAAAAATAATTACCAAATTCACTCATGTCTTCTAGTTTCCATTGATTAAATCTTTAGTTCTCTTAATAAGTTTGCTTTGTACATATGAAATATATTAAACAGGCAATGGTAGGGACTGCTCAGCAGTCGTTTTATAAAGTATTTCACATTATAAACAAACAACTGATATCTTTAGTTCTTATCCTGAAACTGGTGGGAAGATAATCAAAGCAAATAGAATGGTGAGATGTAAGTTAAGCTGGGGGAAGTCCACCTGAAATAAATGAATGCTAAAAATGTTAAAACTTTACAGAGAAAGTTCTCAATAGACCTATTAAGTCTATATATCCATAAAAGGTTCTTCACCCAAAATAGCAAATGTCTTATCCTTTTATTCAGTACATAAAAACCTTTAGACTAGACACATTGGTGAAGAATAAATCACTTCCATAAAATTACACTTTAATACACTATTGTTTGGCTTTCTGAATCCCTTGAATTCACTTTCAAACAACAAATAACATAAATATGGAGCATTCTTAATAGCCACTTTGAGATATCAGTTTCCTTTCAGCCTGAGAAATATATGTCTATGAAGTATAGCAAATGTGCTCACTGAGGAATAGTTGAAGACCTTGAGTTCTAACTTACGCTCTGACATTACTAGATATGAGATCTGGACAAGTTACTAAACTACTCAGAGCATTATTTAGTTCCTAATATTTAAGACAGCAGAATAATCTCCCTCATAGCTCATATTTATAATTCATATTTCATAACATTTAGTTTTTAAGTTTGAACCACACTAATTCTAATTATTATTATTGTAGGTTGAACATACCTAATTAGGAAACCCAAGATGTTCCAAAATCTGAAATTTTTTGAGCACTGCTGTGACACTCCAAGTGTAAAATTCCATATCTAATCTCAGGTGACAGTTCATAGTCAAAACATAGATGCACAACACACAGTACATTCAGCACCACCAAGGAAAAAAGACCCTCTAAACACCCTTCACTTGGGACATATTTTTTCAGCGCGCATCCAGATTCCCCCACATGCAAACACCCACAATGGTTAATAAAATTGTATGTGTGCAGGCTGGATGTACCAACAACAGGTTCCCCACATTCAGAGTCAGAAAGGATGGTGATGCCAAACAACCACAGATTGTCCAAAAGGGTGGCTAAGATAGTGATACCTTTGCTTTACGATAGTTCAATGCATACAAACTTTGTGTCATGACTAACATTATTAAAGATATTATATAAAACTACTCTCAGCCTATGTGCAAAGGTATACATGAAACAAATGAATTTCATGTTTAGACTTGAGTCCCATCCCCAAGATATCTCATTATGTACATACACACAAATATTCCAAAATCTGAAAAAATCCAAAATCCAAAACACTTCTGGTCCCAATCATTCCAGATAAAGGATACTCAACCTGTATTTATAATTTTCAATACTAATAAAGTTAGTAAAATTTGCTTTTTATATTAGATGGGTAACTAAAACCTTGAATTTTAGACCAAAAAGTAATAGAACAAAAATAAAAAGCTATATGGAGTGGCATCAGAATCACGTTGGAGCAATAAAAAACTAACACTGTATGTCAACCATACTCATAACTCTGCTTGAATTCTGCCTTAATGCTAATTCTATACAGATATTGGGATTGGTCACATTGATTCAGTGCTTTACCCAAAGCACTGAACTTTAATCTTTCTTAGGAATCTAGAAGAGCATACAATTTAATTACCATACCTACTATTCACTATCAAAATTTGGAAGGATGCGATTCAAACAATAGAAAGAAATAAAATTTCACCCCTCTATTTCTAGATGTTCTGGCCCAGAAGAGAGCCAGGGTGACTTAGGAGCTTTGGAGGCAGACCAGGCAAGACTGTAAATCTTGCAGCAACCACTTACTGACAGCATAGCCTTGAGAAAGTTATGTTATTTCTCTCTCTACCTCAGATTACTCCATGGAAAACTGAGATAACACTACTTAACTCAACAAATGTTGATTATTATAGAAGCCAAAGATTCAAAAAGCTGATGTAATTAAAGTATCATGTACTATGTCCTCCTTATAAAATAAAATCTAAATGAATGTTAAAAGCATCAACTACTAGCCTTAAATGTAAAAAAAAAAACAAAATAAAATAAAAGTTTTTAAAAAGCACAAAACTTCCTAACCTTGAAACAAAATTTTAATTATGTCTTCAGTTTCTGAGAAAAACAGCTTATGGCTTTGGAAAATCATTTTAAAAGTGAAATTTTCCTTTTAGCTCTTTCATAATGCCAATAAACCTACACTATCATTCTGCTTATACCAAAGGAACAATTAATTATCTACTTGCTGCTATTAACTTCTGAATAAAATTAAACAATAAATTACTTACTAAAAAATTTATATTGATTTTATGGCTACAAAAGGCATCAAATATAAATGAAAAGAAGTATCAAAAGCAGTAACTTATCAGTATTGGCCTGTATTCAGGGCAACATAACTCACATAGGGCAGCAATATGAACTACATAGTTCCTTATATCTTAAAGTATGGTGAAGAACGTAAATCTTGCTCATTTATCTTTGCCATGTTAACATGCCTGGAAAGACTGAAGAAAGAAATCTAGACATCAGCATTCCTATTATTGTTTCATATTTCAAATTGAAATAAAGTTTCAGTATTCATTCAAAAGTAAGCCTTATAAACTAAGTAAAGTTTACTCATACTTCAGAATATAGCCACAAACTATGATTACTTATGGGGCCCCCCAAAAAATCCTCACTCTTATTATTTAAGGAATGTTATAGATCAATAATATACAAGAGTTCCTTTGGTAAATTTCACTAGTAAAATAAAAAAATTGTATTTTATATCAAGTATTAAAAAGCCTTTTTAGAAAAATAAGATGATATAGGCTTTTCAGGCTAAGGAAATAGCTTGTGAAATAAGAAATACAGGGAACAAGATAGCCTTCTCAGACATTGTAGTATTAATGTAGATTAGTTATCTATATTAATCCTACATCAATGTGCTTATTGTATTTGATATGCAAGTAATAGATTAAGTGCCTAAATACAATATAATAAAATACGATATATCAAGTTTATTATGTTAATGAATTAGCATATGTTGAAATCATCTTTAAAGAAGTTGGATGAAAAATAAATTTTTTATCGTAAATATTTGCTGCTTTTATTTTACTGTCATAATAAATACAAAGCAAATATCTATGTGGACTAAACTAGCCTTGTTTTCAGATATCTTTATCAAAAAGTGGGAAGATATTTTCACAAATAAAGCTAAACTAACATTTATCTCTGAAGATACAAAAGAAAAAATAAAAACATAGACACACCTAAAATAATCTAATAATAGGCCGATAGGCCTATTTAACAATAGGCCATTGTTAAAAAACTTCTGGGCTAAAGATATATTTATCCCAGGATAATTTAAACAACTTGAGTCTTAAATTGTCAACTACTCCCAAAATTCTTTCAATAAATTCTTATCTACAGTCTATAAAAATATTTGCACCATTTTCTCCCTATATAACTCCCTTGAGCTTTTTATTACGCTATTATTTTGAATGTATATATACTATGTGATCTTTTCTATAAGGAAGATACAACATACTCAGAACATCTACTTATAGACCAAAGATTTTTTTTTTTAAAAAAGGCATTTTCTTCACATAAGATTTAGACTTATTTATATAAGATAAGACCTATTTATCCTTTCTGGTAAATAGCACATGCAGTTTCTTTAGAAATATAAAATGAGTCTTTCCAGGCTCGTGGTTCTTCTTAGTGGAAAGAAGATGGGGCAAATGAATAAAATCATGTAGAAGAGAATCTAAAATAAGGGTGGGAAGTTACTGTTCCCTACTATTGACACTGTAAGGCAGAGGATAAAGAAGTAGTAGAGGGCCCTCTAAGAAGTAAAGCAGGTTTTTAACAAGTACTTACCCAAAGTACAATTACAATTTCCTTCAAGCCATATAACCATGTCTTAATCACAGTGGAACTCCCCCAGTGTCCCCATGGGCATTTCTTATGCTCACCATGTGCAGACTCCCTGAGTAAGGTCAGTGACAAAGAAACATTTGCTACCTTGATGTGCTCCTGAAGCTGAGCCTGGTGCTGCCGTGTTAGGTTTTCATGCTGTTTCTGAAACTCTGCTATCAGAAGCTGCTTCTGGATTTGTTGCTGCTGCTGGATGAGAAGTAACTCCTGCTGCAGTTGCTTCTCACGGACGACAGGATCTACCACGGGCATCATCATCCTGAGGTCTGTCCTTAGGTCTAAAGGCGAGATGGGCTCCAGGCCCACAGGAACCTCTGACTTCACATCCACTAAAGAACCAGGAAAAAAGAGGGGGAGGGGAAAATAGAGTGATAAAGGATTGGAAATTAGCACACTGATTTGGAAACAAACAAAAAAAATAAGACATTATTCCTTGTATAATGAACTTTATGTCAATGATCCTAGTCATTTCTTTACAATGATGATAGATAATTTGCATATCAGTTTTGATAAATGGGCTATATAAGCTAATTTTTACTCAGCAATTTGTACTTTTGCCATGAATCTTCTACAATTCCCTTTCTCAAAGAGATGACTTCAATTGTTCACTAGTATCAAAGTCATTCATAAAACTTATACTGCTGAACCACTAACAAAAACCCACTCAACTTAGGATAAAAAAATGCAACTATATCAAAGGGAAAATGTCATATAATAAGAGAGAACTTGTACCACAATTAAATTTGTGCACTTATGAACATTTTTCTTTGTTATCAGAATCAAAATACATATTCAAGCTTAAAAAGTAAGGATTGTTACAGAATATATTTTCAGGGCGACTGGACCTAGCAAAGACAGAATATAAAACTTCATGCTAAAATGTGGGAAATGATGATTAACCACAGCCATGGTGCCAGATCCAAACGTCAAGGAGTGAAAGTAGCCAAGTTTCTAAGTGCTGGTTTTTAAATAGTAATAATCTGTATCTCAGTTACCTCATTCCTAAAATAAATAAGGTGGAAAAATATGAGGAAACTTAAAACAAGTATTTAATCAAACCACTGGAGAAAGAAAGAGTTCATGATATGAGAATAACTATAAATAATAATATTTAAATTTATAAAAATTACAGTAGATAATGCTGCTTTCTAAAGGAGTAGTTTAAGCAGGAAAGCTCCCAGACAGGGTAGATATTCAGATATATCACTTATTTATGGCTGGTGTCAATTCTGATTGGTAAGTGTCCATAACAAACTGGTTGATAAATATTTCGTGTATGACTCTTACCCACAAGAAGCAGCAGGAAAATTTTGTAGTTAATTGAAACAGGTTAAATTAAAGGCATTAAGGATTTTGGAAGGGAAACTGTGGCAAACTGTATTGCATGGCTCTTCAAAAGAGGTCAGCTACTACTCAGATACAACCAATTATTGGTATGGGGTGGGGAGAAAATGAAGACCCAGTAGACAAAATAACCCAATTTTTAATTTAAAAATATTTCAAAGATTTAAACACTCTGAGAACCAAACAAAACGCTTCTACAAGCCAACTTTGACATGAAGCCTTGCCAGTTTTCAACCTCTGTCTATAATCTAAACGCCTGTTTCTATTTTTCTGCCTGTGTAACTCTGAGGATGTTATTAACTCCTGTAGGCCTCAGTTCCCTCATTTGTAAAATGGCGATCATGAGAGTAACAGTTACAACAGACTTGTTAAAACGTTTAAATGAGATTATCCATTCAAAGTAATTATAGCATATAGCACATCCCTCAATAAATGCTTTGGTTTTGTTTTTTTAATACATAAAAATGGAAATTTCCTACATATTAAAATAATCCATCAATACTCAGTGGCTAACAAAACAAAAATATTAAGAACATATATGAAAATAAGATGGCATATGGTTCCTACTAAATATCATAAAACACTAGAACCTCTAGAAAAACAGATACAAAAAGAATACAGATGAACAACTTAAAATCACCTTCAATAGTAAAGAAATGCAAATTATCGATCAAAGTAAAGCATTATTAATTATTAAATCTCATATATAAGAGTCATGTATATCCATATGTATATATAATGCCCCATTATATAGGGTAAGCATATGACCAAAGAGACAGTTATTTACTGCAAATGGAACTGTCAATTGATGTAAAACTCTGCAAAACCAATTTGGTGATATGTATCAAGAGGTGTTACATACGTCTACCATTTGATTCAGGTTTGCTAACTCTAGAATTATATCTTAAGGAGATAATACTGATAGAGGAAAAAACAGTTCAATGTCATCTTGTTTACTGGGATATTATTATAATTATTATTGAAATCACCAACTACAAGGAAATGTCTAAATAAAATATGTCACATTCATTTGGTAGAAAAATAAGCAATCGTTAAAAATGCTGTTACAACATTAAGTAAAAAGCAGTAATAAAAGTGACATATACACTATGATAACTATTTAAATGTCATACTTGTAATTAATTTAGTCAATATATATTGAGCCCCTTTAAAGTCCCAGGCCTCATTCTAGATGTTGGCATTTAGTACTTTAAAAAAAGAAGACAAAAATCCCAGCCCTTATTGAACATATATTCTACTGGGGCTTTTAATCATATTAGTTTCTGAATTCTAATAGCAAAGAGTGGTGATATAGAGACCAGAAGATGGTTGTATTTTGGATAGAAATATGAAAGATTCTCCCCCTTCTACTTTTTTGTATTTTTCCAAATTGCATCTAGTGCTCTGACTACTACTATATGTAACTAACTTAAATTTGCAGATTCTAGGTTGGAAAATACAAAGTTTATATTCCATGTGGATTTAAGAGCTATTTGCAGTCATTTAACAAAGTCTAACAGAAATCCTACCTATAAATATTAAGGCTTCAAATACTAAAACATTAAATATTCTTGCTTGCCATTTGAATTGTATGCCCTTGTGCATGTAGACTGGTATCAATTTTGGGTTGCTAACACTGGTTATTTTTCAATGTATCAGTCAAAAGTTTTCAATGATGGTACTTTATGTGTCACTTTAATGAAAATGGGAAAATGATTTATTAATGAACTATAGTTTGGTAGACAGTTACTTCTAAAATATGATATTTGTTAATGGAAAGAAATTAATTGTGACAAGTTTAGAAGCTAATGAGGATGATGGCCCATGAGGTCTCTTAGTTGCAGTGCCCAATGTAGAACCTTCAGTCAAGGCTCTGGAGTAACATGAAAGTTTTAGCATGAACTTAAAGAGTTGGCATAATTCCAATGAAAAGCAATGGCTGTTAATGGGTATATTTCATTTTTACATTAAAAAGGCCAAGCTATAGCCTTCAGTTTTTACATGGAAATCCCAATAAACAAAAGGTCAGAATTTAACCCTATAAAGACAAAATGTAAAAATTCAAGAGACCCTGGGGTCTCTTCTTGCTGGCACTTTTGTTATCCATAAACTATAAACATCAAACTCCTAAAAATTAAAAAAAGAAAAGATGGGGGAGGGGGAGTCCTCTGAAACATTTATTGTAAACCTCAAAGGGTAATTTGACTTCTTAACCTGCTATCCCAACAGAAATGATTGTGTCTAACTGCTTGCCTTTGTTCAGAGACTAATCACTAAATTGTGAAAAATCACCCTCAACTTACAAAAACTGCTCTTGATTATAAATAATTGCCCAAGACTGAGAGAAAGTGGCAGGCAAGATCCCAGTCTTTCATCCAATTTATTCAGCAGCAATCCACATTCCATTTGTCTAGACTAAATATAGCAGCGTTTATACAAGAAATCAATAGTGCTTGCAGAGAGGAGAGCAAAGGCATGAATATTTCATCAGACTCAGAGAGAAATGGCAATCAGCACACTGATGGTTCTGTGTAGGTCATCTTTGGCCTGCTAGATTAGTTCCTCTTACTTGGACAATAGCTCATCTCTGCCTAATCATAATCATATCATAGCCATTCTTTCCATTTTTAACATTAATTGCATTGTGAGTGACAAAGACTCATCGTATTCCAAAAGGAATGTTGGATTTTTCTTACATCTTTTTGACAGGCTAATAAGCCTCCCCAGGAGAAATAATAGTAACAAAATACCAGAGCTGAGTTTCAACAAGTTACAGACATTTTCATATCACAGAATGTGAAAGAAAGGGCATTTTCCAGAGCTGCCATATAATAATTAGAAATAATCAATTTACAAGGAAAAATTAACCACTAGTTTTAACAATGGGTAAATGGAATTATCTCTGTGCACAATATTCCTTGTCTAGGAACATGCTTGTCTGGGAACATGCAAATTACTCACAAATTACTTAGAACAGGTGGCCAGTGATGCATATTTTAGGAGGAAATTAATGACAGCAAATATTAGTATTAGTATTAGTTACAAATGAATCATGTTTTTTTAACAGATCTCAGGAACTCCTGGCACACATGAGAAAGAACCATGACACAGCTGGCTTTATTTGAACTCACTGTTTGTCTTAGATTGCAAATATATGGAACACGTATGTTATATTTATATTATTATTTTATTATTACATACCAAATGCCCAGTCAGAACAATTCCACATACATATTGACTTATTTTAATTATTACTCTACAAAGTCCATTCCTTCTTCAGTGTCTTTGTTTGTTCTTTGATAGTTATTCCATCTTCTGTCTAATGTTAATGAATTCATGCAATGTTTTTTTAGAAAATTTAGTTTTTAATGAACTTGTTCAATTCATTGGACCTTGGAAAAGGTCCAATTTCAAAATAAAAACAAAATCCCAGATCATATAGGTGTTTACGATAATCACATTTATTTAAGCAATGTACATACATGTTTAGTTTTAATTAAGTTCTGTGAAAAGATGTTTTTAATTCCAAAGCTGTTAAAAGTTAATTCAGAGTACTAAGAATAATCTACTGGCTATGTAGTGTTTTTTAATACTTTACTTTAGATGTTGTTATTCATAGCACAGGTAAGCCAGGTAGGATTATCAGCTGGCTTACAAATAAGAATCCATCCATTTTAATAATATTTTAAGTGAACAACTTGCAAAGCTCATGGATGAAAAAATTTGAAGACTGCACAATTTTGTCCATGTACAACTATCACTATGGCTGAAGACTGTTCATGCTGTTCTGAAAGAAGTAGAGTTCAAAATATTGGCTTTCACAAAAAAATTGACATGGGCACAATCTCACCACTAATTTGTATGTGTCAATTATTTAATTTTTCCACTTAAAAAGTGCTATAAAAATTGGAACCATGCTTAACAATCTCAGTTAATACTCATAATTACAGAGGGCACAATTTGGGATATATTAGCAACAATGCTG